AGGCAGGCAAGGGGATAGGAAGGGATAAATTGGGAGTTCAAGAGTTGCAGATACTGCGTACTGAACATAAAAAAGATAAACAGTGAGTTTATACTGTATAGCACTGGGAACTCTATGCAATATCTTACAGTAACCTATAATTAAAAAGAATATGAAAACGAATATGTATATGTATATGTATGACTGAAACATTATGCTGTACACCAGACATTGACACAACACTGTAAACTGACTATACTTCAATAAAAGGGGGGAGCTTATGGATAGAATTTTAAATTTTTCCTTTTTTCTGAAAGAAAGGGCAAAAGCCAAAAATGCCTGTTTTTTGTATTTTCATCAAGAAACATAGAAAAGAGTAATAAGAATTTACCAAAAAATGGTAATATATGTATGAATATGGTGACTTCTAAAACTATTTCTGTGATTATTTGTGAAAACATGAAAATTATAGCTAGCTTATGGATGTGAGAACAATCTGGCTGAAACATCTGCCTCCTTGCTGACTGCCAGGATGGGTCTCTGTGATGTGGCTGCTGGACCAGCACTCCTTCCTCCATCATCTCAATCTCTGTCTCCCTGAAACCTGCCTGCTCTGTGACCTTGCTGCCCAGATTCACATCTACTTGGATAGTCTGAATCCTAAAAAAAAAAAAGTTACAATAATTTAGAAGCTCTGGCTTGTAAGAGACCTACAAAATCTTTACACAGATCCAAAGGCTCTCCCTAACCTCTCTACTACCCTGGATGGAGCCTAAGCAGAAATTGAATTCTTTGCAATGGAGCTAACATATAGGGTTAGGCAGGGAGTTCACTGCACAAGGAGGTCTGGCAGTGGAGAGAGATGGGGCTGAAATCTCAACTGTGCTGTGCTTGCTAAGCCACATGCCGTGGTGTGGGGCTGCATCTGTCTATTTCTAATTCACACAGTGTCCGGGGGGCTAGTGTGAACCCTGAGTCACATTTGGCCTACAGGTAAGAGACTGGCCCTTCTGCATTCTCTGATATTCTTCCCCTCACAGTGAGGCAGAAAACAGTACAATATACACTTTCAGGAAATCATTTTAAAGGACAACACTCTGGACACTACAGTTGGGTAGGCAGATAACGTTTCCAGTGTTACCAATGAGCCCAGTTTGGTCTAGATTACCACAAGTGTGCTTTCTTTCCTGAATTTCTCTCTCTTCTGTCTCTGTTTTCCTCTCTGTCTCATTTCTCTCTTCCCTCTCTTCCTCACTGGATATTTCTCACTCACTCTTCCCATCCCCCGACCTCATTCCTAAGACCTTGAAGTAAACAAGATTCTTTCTGCCCGAGTTTTTGATACAATGCTCAAATTTGGGTTGAAACAGTTCTCTTTGAAGCCATCTGCCACCCAAGCTGTTTGCATCCTTCCCTGAATTCCCGTTTCTAAAACATGGGAGGAATCAAGGAAACTTCATCTGAATTCACCCCTCTGACTCCAGGCTGCCCTCTGTTTTTTATCACCGGCTCCAGTTCCCTTGGCTCCTTCCTGAGGCATCTTCTTTCTTTCATTACATCTCTGTCAGGAGTCATCCAGGCTCAAGGCCATGGTCCCTCTGTTATTCCACCAACAAACTGTCAACTTCCTGCTCTTTTCATAAATAGCATCCCCCACATCCATAGTTGTATCAAAATACACGTGTTTTCTTTTTTTTTTTTAAGACATATTAAGCAAAAAAAGTACAATGACAATGTATGTCCTATTCAACTGGAAAGAGAGATACATAGAGTCAGGATACTGACAGTTATTAAACTTTTGATTGTATAGCATCTGATAGAAAAAAAAATTAAGGATAATGACATCTATATATAGAGCCAAATTAAAAATAAAAGGGGCTCCAACTGAAGAATGTTTCTCAAACTGGTCCATGGTTGGAGTCCATTATCATATGTCAGGGTTAGTAGAAAACTTGTAATTATATGCAAAAAATTTTTGTGTTAACCTTCCTGGGGAGAAATTACACAGATTTCATCAACTTCTCAGGGGGAATCTTTGACCCAGATAAGCTTAAAAATTGAAGAAGAGTCAGTGACTGAAATATCAAAAGAAACTCACTGTAAGTAATTGATAAAAGTCATCTAATATTTAGCCTTTTTAAGTGCAAATATTAAATTCTATGTGTAAATATTAAAATGATCTCATCATTGCTGGGAGTATATTATGGGATCAGGTAAGTTCTTCCAGACCACTTAAATCGCTTCATACATGATCCAGAAAATGTGAAGCTATTCTTTAAAGTAGCATTTCCTAAATGCTTCTCTGATGATGTGAATCACTTGGGATGCTGATATTCTAAAAAGAAAGAGTCCTGGCTCCCACTCCACAAATACTGAATGAGAAATTTTTTTACTACTTTTTGTTTAAGATTTTATTTTTTAGAGCAGTGTTAGTGTTAGGTTCACAGCAAACTTAAGAGAAAAGCACAAAGATCCCCCATATACCCGCCCTGCACCACACATGCATAGATAGCCATTATTAACATCCCCCACCAGAGTGGTACCTTCGTTACTATTACTAAAACCACATTGATGATTATCACCCAAAGTCCATAGTTTATATTAAGATTCACTCTTGGTGTTGTACATTCTATGGGTCTGGACAAATATATAATGACATGTATCTATCATTATAGTATCAAACAGAGTAGTTTCACTGCCCACTAAAACCTCTGTGGTCCACCTATTCATCCTTTCCCCCTAGAAACAAGTGTCACTGTAGGAAGCATTTTATGAAAAATTTCCCCAAGTTGCTGTTAATTAATACCCTTGTTCATCACACAAAAAATGAATGGACTAACAAAAGGAAAGCCAGAAACCCATGCCCTAATTTTTAAAAAGTATCATCTCTTAAAATTAGAGTCCGTTTCTTGCAAAATTTTGAATACAAAGAAATGATTAATAAACTATACTTTAAAAACATTTTGGCCTTTATAGCAATGCAACAAGTATTAAAATTAATTTTGTAATATATCTGTAGCCAGGTAGGTACAAAGATTTTTCTATTCAAACAATTTTTTCAAACCAGGTACAATACACCTACTGAAAATATTTGGATAGCTTCATGCATGTGAGTCTAGGAATCTGATGAATTATTATGCCTAAAGTATTAAGAAATTATTCAAGGAATCTTAGCATAAAAAGCAATATGTTAAAAGCAGCAGCAGGGGGTCAAGTATTCTCTCTCAGACACATGATTCCATTAAACTAATAGCTTTTTCACAAAAGGAATGATTTTCTAATGTATTAAAAATCACCCCAGGGAGATTATTTAGAATGGTCATTCTAACGGGCTAGCCCAGCTAGCTTACTCCTCAGTGTCAACTTTAATAAAAACAAACTGGGAGGAAATTTCTTTTTAATTTTAAGTATTTAATTTTTAATTAATGTAATCAATTCAATCCCACAAATATTTGTTTAGTATCTACTATAAGCCTGGCTCTAGGCTAGCTTCTAAGGATAAAGCAAGCAATGAGTAAGGCACAATTCCTCCCCTTAAGAAGCCATCCTGTTTTAAATTTTTAAAAATATTTTCCCCTGATTTTAAAAATTTGGGATAAATTAAATCAAGGGTTGTCAAACTTTCTATAAGAAGTCAGATAATAAATATTCTGTTTTGTGAATCATACAGTCTCTGTTTTAACTATTCAATTCCACTGTGTAGCATGAAAGTCACCACAGACAATATTTAATGTAAAAAGCATGGTTACAATATAACTTTATTTACACAGTCAGATTTGGTTCTTAGGCTACAGTTTGCCAACCACTGGACTAAATAATTTGTGAATGTTTATTTAACTTTTTAAATGTTCATTTGAAAGTTTCTCATATCTGCTTTACTAAAAATGATAGGACCAGGAATACCAGGAATAATTAAAAGTGGGTATACTAAGGAAATAAGAATTACAGGGAAAAAATAGGCTGAAAGAAATTAAGGAAGTTGTTAGAGGAAGAAGGGCAGCATCACCCAAACAGAAAGTGGTTTATCAAGAGCGGTCAAGCTCTATAGAGCAAATCTGAAAACTTTAAAACCTTTGTGCAACAATAGCAGTAATAACTATATTCTACAGTAATATACTGTAGAATAATCTACTTCCATGCAAAATCACCTTTATAGCTCTAACTTGCTTTAAAAAGCAGATGTGTCTAAGAATTGAGCTTAAAATCAAAATGTAATGTGAAAACATTTTTTTCAATGAAAAATACAAATAAGCACAAAGAAAAAAATTATCGCCTCAAATACTACCAACCCAGAGACACTACTTTTTCACTGAATAATTTTCAAATGTGTGAAAATAGCTGACTCTTCCAAGGGTCCTGCAGCTTGAAGGATCAGAGCTACATCCATTCATTCACGCTCTAAGTTCACATTTTCGATGGCTGCAGTGATCAGAGCCCAAGAGTCTGCCACCGCAGAGATAGCGTGTGCCAGGCACTATGTGAGGAGATTTCTGGAGACCATCTCACTGAATCCACCCCCACCCCAGGAGGCAGGTACTATTATTCTGTCCATGTTAGAGATGAGGAATCTGAGGCACAGACAGGGAAAATAATTAATGGGTGCTCAAGCAGCCAATCAGTGGTAGAGCCAAAGTAAGAACCCAGGAATTCTGTCTCCATCATCTGCGCTCTGAACCTTCAGTGCTTCCCCTAAGAAAAATAAGTGTGTGAACATCCAATCAGGTTACCCTGCCATCAGCATTCTGACACTACTTGCTTTCATTGTGGTAAATGTAAATACAAAAAAAAAAAAAAAAAAAAGAATGTTTCTGCCACTTATGAAGAAATAATGGAAACAAGGCCACAATTTTCAATGGTTTGGTGAATAAGTCCTTTTATTACCTTTCAGTAATGAATTTGTTAGTGAAAGACTTTGGTTTCTGAGGGCTACAATTTAACCACTCAGGCATTAGAATAGTCAGTGGCTCTGAACTTTGAGGGGGACTCAAAGCTGTTGCAAATATGACAAAAGCCACAGAAACTTTCCCCAAAGGAATGCACATAAGTATGGTGTGATGGCCCTGGAAGTACCCTGCTCTAATCGCCATCCAGAGAACTCCTGCTAGGAGCAGAGTTGATGGACAGCCCCAGCTACTGCACCCTTGGATCTAGGCCAGTGTTCACAGCAAAACCTCACTTCCCCTGGGGCTGCTTGGAACCGGTAACTGAGCATGGCAGAGATACTAGTGCCAGTGCTTTTCTGCCCGACACAGAATGCTTCCAATGAGCAACTTGTCCTGGGGACTCCCCACCAGCCTGGCTGAGCCTTTCTTGGAACTGCTCTGCATTCTGAGACTTTCTACCCAATCTTTCTTTCCCTTCCTCCCTTCACAGATGTCAGTCTTGCATTGTGGACTCATTGCTGTTTATTCCTGCTCCCTCTCTTTTATCTTCCACGGGGATTTCTCCATAAATTGAGCTTATCTAATCCTGTCTGGATGTCTGTTTCTTGGAGGACCCAAAAAGATATTCACAAGTATGTACAATGCTATGCACCTTTCAGAGGGTTGGCAGAACCTAAAAGTCCATTTGTGGATCCCTTAGGATGTAAGAACACCAGGTTAAGAACCTAAGCAGATGGTACAATGAAAGTGAAATGAAAGATACTAAGCCAACATCTTTATAATTCTGCTTTAATAGTTATAAGAATTTGGTCAATGATTTAAAAAACATGTACAATCCAAATCTAAATCAATTAACTACATCTAAACACTGGTATATATTATTGGTAACAATAAATCATAGTTACTTATTTTTCTTAAAAAATCTAATGGAAAATAGGAGAGCCATAGTAATGCCATAAATTTAAAAACATTTTTAATGTTTTCTTAAAAACTGTTTTCTGGAAAGAGCATTAGACCATGCAATACTGAAACCTGAGCTCAAATCCAACCCTGTCCAAGCTTGCTGAGTTACCTCCTACAAGTCACTCAACTTTTCTGAGCTAAAATTCCCTTACCTGTAAAATGAAGGGGTTGAACTAGGTAATTTTTAAGGAACTTTTAAATTCTTAAAATTTCATGATAATATATGTTTCTCTCTGTGGTGCTAGGGAAATAAGGCTATTTCTAAAGCAAATATAGTAATATCACTAATGTTTTTTCAGAGGAAACTGATCATAACTTAAAGTATATTTAAAATCCTCAAGATCTGACCCTTGCCTCCTTTTCTGGACTTACACACTATGTTGTAGCAACATCTTCTTTCTGTTCCTGGTACCTCCCAAGGTCATTCCTGCCTCTAGCTCTGTTGCATCTGTCTGGAAAGTAGTTCTTAGAGCTTTTCAAATGGCTGGCTCCTTCTCATAGTCCAGGTCCTGGCTGAGACATCACCTCCGCCGAAAGACCTAATGTTCATTCTGTCCAAATTACTACCCCACCTCAACATTCCCCAACCCTCTATCAGGATATCCTGTATATCTTCTCATCAGCAGTTATTACTGTTTCATTGTTTGGTTGTCCATTCCTCCCCACTAGAATAGAGTCTCTATGGGGCAAACATTTCATCTGTCTTGTGTATCACTGTCTCCCTAGAATGATGCCTGGCATGGAGGAAGCATTTAATAAATGCTTGTGACATGAACAAAGGAGTTAGCAAATGAATAGATGCACCCTATGAGAAAACATAACATCTTAACTTTTAGATGAGTGAAAGGAGCTATAAAAATTTTTCCTATTCAATTTTTTTCAGGGTCGCATAGAACCAGACTATAAACTTGTATTGTTTTTCACAATTAAAGAACATAATAACCCAAATGTAAGCCACGAGTAGCATTAGTTTTAGCTTTGGGCTGGGTTTTTCTGGGGATGGTCAATAGAATTGTACGGTGATCAATACCAAGATTATGTTCTAACTCATTGAGCAAAAGGGCTTAAATCATTTAGCTTTTAATATTTGGAAACAAGCAAGTATCAAAATAATTCTACTGATTCTCAAAGAATTGAAAAATCACAAGGCCTAATAATAAAGTCATGAAATAGCTCTATGAAAATTTAATTACTGTAGAAAGGCTACATTAAGAATGAGTCATAGACATTTAAAAAAACCATTTTTTCCCTTCACTTAATTTGATGCCATAAAGTCCAAGGAACAGACAAATTTGAAGTCAACTCTCAGTTTTCCATGGTAGAATCAGGATTTGTAGCAGAAAGGGTAAAGTTTCTGGAACTTCATAAATCCTGGCTCTGGTACTTACTAACTATGGCTTTGGGTAATTCATGTAATTTCTGTGGGCCTCAATTTTTAATCTGTAACATAGGATTAGTAATACATGTTAGTTTTGACTTATGTAAATATTCATGAAACCATCACCGCACACAATCAAGACACTGAACATAAACATGACCCCTAAAACTTTTCTCATGTACTTTTTTTTAAGGGTACAGTTAATATTTTATTGTCACTTATCAGATGGCAGTCAAGTATATAGTTTTCATACTTGATCTTTCCTTTCTGTAAATAATAATTTTTAAAAAACTACAAGTTTTAAATAGCCAATGGCTGGTCATGTCTTCAGAAAACATGATCAGATTAATTCATTAATGGTGGCTTCACATTTTTCCTTATTAGCTCCAGAAAATTCACCCACCTTTTGCCCCTTTTTAAAAAACTGGAAGGCTGGCATGCATTTGACTTCACACTCTGAAGTAACGTCCTGATAGTCATAGACATCTACTTTAAGGAACACCACCGCGGAATAGTTTTCAGAGAGAGAATGAAAGAAAGGCTTGATCATTTTGCAAGGCCCACACCATGTAGCTGAGAAGTCAACTACTACCAGTTTATCTCCTGCACTGTTCAAGGCTTCCTGAAAAGCATACTTGCTCTCGACCTGCTTCACCATTTTGGCTGCTGGGGTCTGACGAACGACCTTACGATGGAAGAGATGGAAGCGGATCTGAGGCACTTCACAGAGCTCTCTCTCATGTACTTGAATTTCATCACTCCCTTCTGTCTCTCTCTGCACTTCTGATCTGCTTTCTGTCAACATAGATTAGTTTGCATTTTTCTAGCGATTTATGTAAATACAATCATATGGTATGTACTGTTTTGAATGTATCTCTTTCATTCAGCATAGTTATATTGGTTTTCATCTATGTAGATGTGTTTATCAATAATTCCTTCTTTGTTTCACTGGGTGGAACTCCATCGTACGTATATACATCAATCTGTTTATATATTCAACTGTTGATAAATTTTGGGGTTGTTAACACAAACAAGATACTTTTAGGTGACCCATGGGTCAAAGTAGAAATCACAAAGGAAATTAGGAAATATTTTGAACTGAAATTAAATGAATGAAATGAAAATGAAAATACATCACAATTTGTGGGATACAGTTCAAGCAGTGCTTTCACAGGAAAAGTGATAGCATGAACTTCTCATACTCAGGAAATGAAAAAAAAAGAGAGGAGTCAACTGTATAACCATATAAATAAAATCAACTGTATAAACTTTTACTTTAAGAAGCTAGAAAACAAAAGAGCAAATTAAACCTGGAGCAAGTATAGAAAAAATTTAAAAATAAGAGAAGAATTAATGAATAGAACAGGAGTAGCAAATATGTTCCTTAAAAGGCCAGGAAGTAAATATGGTTTGTAGACCACAGGGCCTCTGTGGCAACTACTCAGCTTTGACAATTCCAAATCAGCATTGTTCTGGTATCTTCACACGTATAAATAAGGAGAGAAAAATAAAATGCAGTGTTTGGAAAGGAGAACTAACACTGTATTTATTCAAAGACAGCAAACTGTGCCCATAAAAAATACTAAGGGATCTCTAAAAAATTTTTTAAAGTTACTGAAACTAATATGACAGTTTAGCAGAGTCACAGGATACCAGGACAATACATAATATTCTATTGTATTTCTACCTGCTGGCAATGAACATTTGGAAAAAGAAATAAGAAATACCTCATTTATAATAGCATGAAAACTATGAAATCCTTAGGGATCATAACAATATACATTCAAGATCTCTACATTAAAAACTACAAAATATCCAATCAACTTCCCAATTGTTTTTTTTAACAAAAATTGACAAGCTGGTTTTAAAATTTATCCAGTAAGGTGAAAGGCTTATAATAGCCAAAATACTTTTTTTTCTCATCAGTGTTTTCTTTTTTCCCTTTAATTGAAGTATAGTCAGTTTACAATGTTGTGTCCCAAAATACTTTTGAAAAAGAATAACAGAGTTAAAGAACTTATACTATCTCATTTCAAGACTTACTATAAAAGGTGTAGTTATCAAGGCAATATAGTATTATGTAAGGATAGACATATGATCAAAGAAACAGAAGAGAGTCTAGAAATAGAATGCACAAATATGGTCAATTGTTTAAACTGTAGTTAAATATACAAGACATAAAATTTACCATTTTAGCCATGCTTAGGTATATAGTTCGGTGGCATTAAGTAGATTCACATTGTTGCACAACTATCACCACTATCCATCTTCATAACTTTTCCATCTTCCCAAACTGTAACACTGTACCCATTAAACACTAACTCCTCATTGTCCTCTGCTCCCAGCCTTTAGAAAACACCATTCTACTTCCCATTTCTTTAAATTTAACTACTCTAGGTACTTTTTTTTTTTTAATTATCCCTTCTCACCCTCTACCCCCCGGTAACCACTCTAGGTACCTTATACAAGTGGAATTTGTTCTTTTGTGACTGATTTATTTCACTTAGCATGTCTTTAAACTTCATCCATGTTGTAATATTTATCAGCATTTCTCTCCTTTTCAATATTCCATTGTGTGTATATACCACATTTTGTTTATTCATTTATCAGTGAACACTCAGGTTGATTCTACCTTTGGCTATTATAAATAATGCTTCTGTGAAAATAGGTGTACAAATATGTTTGGCTCTCTGTTTTCAACTCTTTGGGGCATATACCCAGAAACAGAATTGCTGGATCATATATATGGTAATTCTATATTTAATTTTTTGAGAAAGTGACATACTGTTTTCCACAGCAGCTGCACTATTTTATATTCCCACCAGTAGTACATAAGGGTTCCAACTTCTCCACATCCTTGTCAACACTTGCTACTTTCTGATGTGTTTGTTTTTTGCTTTGTTTTGTTGTGTTTTTAATAATAGCCATTCTCATGGATGTGAAGTGATATATTTTTTTACTTTTTTAATTGAAGTATAGTCAGTTTACAATGTTGTCTCAATTGCTGGCGTACAGCACAATACTTCAGTCATTGTGTTTTTATGTTAGGTTGATTTTGACAAATGTATGCTGATATTCACAAATACATGCTGACAATTCAATGAGGAAAGGCTGGTCTCTTTAAGAAACGATGCTAGCTACCTATTGTAAATAAACAAATGTCAAAACTTGTCTCATACCATACATAAAAATTAACATGACAAGTAAAATTATAAACCTTCCAGAAGAAAACACTGGAGAAAAATCTTCGTCAATCTGGAGTATGTAAAGATTTCTCAGATAAGACAGTAAAACACAAATTCTAAAAGAAAAAATTGACACAGTGAACTTTATCAAAATGAAAACTTTTGCTCTTCAAAAGACACTTTCAGAAACTTAAAGGTAAACAAAACACTAGGAGAAAATATGTGATACATATATCTGACAAAGAACTTATATCCAGAATACATAAAGAAGTTAGATGTCAATAGTGAGAAAACAACCCAATTTAAAAAGGCAAATTATTTGAACAGATGCTTTACAAAAGATATACACATATCAAATAAGCACATGAAAAAATGTTTAACATCTTTAGTTACCAGGGAAATGCTAATTTAAACCATACTAAAATACCACCACATACACATTAGAATGGCAAAAATTAAAATACAGTTGAACCTTGAACAACACAGGAGTTAGGGGCACCAACCCTCCATGTGGTTGAAAATTCACATGTAACTTAGAGCTGGCCCTGCAAGTTTTCCCATCTGCAGATTTAACCAACTGTAGATAGTATAGTACTGTAGTACATACTGTTGAAAAAAATCCATGTACAGGTGGATCCTTTTAAAACCTGTGCTGTTCAATCGTCAACTGTATTGACAATACCAAGTATTGAGAGGAATGTGGAGAAACTAGAACTTGATACATTGCTGTTGGAAGTGGAAAATGGTATAGCTACTTTGGAAAACTGGCATTTTCTTAAATAGCTAAACGTAAAATTATCAAAGGGCCCCAGCAATTTCAAGAGAAACAAAACATGCTTCTACAAAGACTTCTATACAAATGTTCATAGCAGCTTACTCAAAATAACCAAAAACTGAAATAATTCAAATGTCTATCAACAGATAGATGAATACACAAATTATAGTATATACATATAATGGAATACTATTCAACAGTAAAAGTGAACAAATGATACACACAATATGTCTGAATCTCCACTCTACTGAATGAAAGTAGTCAGACACAAAAGACTACATGTTGTATGATTTCATTCATGTGAAATAAATCTAAAATGACAAAAAGCAGATCAAGAGTTGCCTGGAAAGGGGCAGTGAGGGAAATTTCTGAAGTGATGGAAATGATTCTGTTCGTGCTTACGTGGGTGATTAATCTGTCAATACTCATCAAACTATTCTCTTAAAATAGGTATATGTTTTATGTAAGTTATAATTCAATAAAGTTGCTTTTAAAATAACACAGCTCATTTCCATCCTACTGTTCAATATTAAAAGATAGAGAAAATAGGAAATAGGAAAAAAGATAAACACTTATCAGGAAACTGGATAATTTGGAAATTAGAAATTCAATTATAAGTCTCTCATGAATATGAAGCTTATAAGGGTGGACTCTAGAAGCAGAATATTGATCATAGCCTTCCTAACAGGTGTGAGATGATGGCTCATTGTGGTTTTGATTTGCATTTTCCTCATGATTACTGATGTTGAGCATCTTTTCATGTACCTGTTGGCCATATGTATGTCTTCTTTGGAAAAATGTCGATTCCATTCATCTGCCCATTTTTTAATTGGACCATTTGTTTCTTTGTTATTGAGTTATATATCAATTTCTTACATAATCATGCAATATGTGACTTTTTCTCTTACGTTAGTAATTGAAATAAAATATGCAGAAGATGTTTTATTAAAAAGCAAATTATTTGCTATGTGACATCCTATGGATTGGGAATTTTTATTCCCTCTTTTGTTGATACATTTCTTTTTGAGCTTCAAACACACTATTTATGATCTGCAAAAGTACATGTAGTAAGAAACCTTTTGTCAATATTGTTTAATATGTTTTCTTTTCATCCTAGAAGTGTGTGAGGAAGAGTAAAATATTCATTGATTTATCCAGATTCAATATCTCCTACATTCACCAGGTATTTACAATATTATAATTTTCTAAGCACTATAGAATTTTGGCTTCATAACAGTCAAAATCTTTTCTTGTGCTTTTAGTGTTTATGTGACATATGTTATGCTTGCTCTATAGAACATTAGGTATAATGAGACTCCTAAATCAACCTAAATTGGCACCCCCTCCCCCTTTAAAAAACTCATAGGGTTAAATACTGAGGTGTAAAATATGCTTTGCACAGAAATTAGAACCTTGTTAGATTTGGCTGCCTTTTCCTTATTAAAAGAGTTGTTATATATTAAAAACCTGCTTTGATGAATAGAAAAAAAACCCCATTATCAAAAACAAAGACTTGTTAAAGGTAGTATCAAAAATAAATAATTAGCTTTTATTCAATGAATAGCTAAATCTATTTTGTGGTTTGAAAGAGCTAAGCACAGATTGCTTCCCTTAGACTGTTAGCAAAGAAATGTTTTTATCAATTAACATTCTTTGCTAAGAACAGTTTTTTCCAGTGCTATTTCTCAAATACAGTATTATAATAAATAGGCGTACCCAAAGGACAATTCCTGGGCTTTTTTCTTTGATGTCTTAAGAGTACAATAATTATGGCATGCCTGTTCTGAATTATGGGAGAAAACAAAAAAATCACATTTCAGATAGATAATTTACTTGCCATAGGTAGCCATTCCTGCAAATTAAATGAGAGGTACATCACCCACAAATCATGCCAGTCCTCCTTTTCATCATGCTGTTGTCCAACATTTACATTCCAG